GGTTCCACCCTCATGAACTAGTTACCTCCCAAAGGCCCCACATCCAAATGATGTGGAAAACAAAGGCAGAAGAAAATTGACTAAATTTACTTATTACTTTTGGCCCATTGACATTGACAAGTCTGTGAAACAGGCAGAGTGACATTCCTCTAGGGACTCAACTGCCTAGATGTTGATACTTTGCTAAGAGCAAAAGGCTATCTCAGGCCAACTCCCAGGATCCTGTGAGTCTACTTTAACATATAAAAATTCCTTTGAAAACTTCCTTTGTCTTACCCACCAAGATACATTTTGGCAATCACCCCCCAAGCAGATGACCCACTCATATACAACTGAAGAGTCTCATGACTAAGAGTTTATAGACAGTAAGTAATAAATGACATTTTCCTAACAATAGCTGGCCCCCTCAAGGTTCTGGAAACTTGCTTCTAAAATTCCTTAGAGACTTAGACTGTCTTAACCCCTCCCAACTTGAAAGCATATAATGGGCCACTCCTTATGATCCCAGTGCAGCTCTTTCTGCCCACCAGTTCTGTCCCCATGCTAAATAAAATCACCTTTTTGCACCAAAGACGCCTCAAGAAATCTTTCTTGGCCGTCCAAACTACACCATTTGGCAACTCACTCAGGACACCTCTCATTCTAGAGAGCTTTCTTTCTGTTCTCATCTTCACTTAATAAACCGTCACTTCACCCTTTTGTGTTTGAGAAATCCGTTCTTTGACTGCAGGACAAGAACCCTGTAACTCTGCAACACAAATACCATAATATTTGGGATCAGAGCTTCAACATATGAATTAGCGGAGTACAAAAACATTCAGTCTATAGCCCTTACCACACCATCTGTATGAAACAGCAATGGAACAAAAATGAGCAGGGCTAAGTCTACAGGCCTGAAGACAATGGGGGCCAGGGAGTTTGACTTTTGAGGGATATCAGGTGCCAAATTGTTTTATTCGATATTTTAGGCAAAATCTATAATTAAAAAATCTAAGGAGTGGTGTTAGGAACCTGGATACTTGAACAGGAAATAAGATAAAATTAGACTCACTCTTTATCAGATACCAGGATAAATTTCTAAAATCTGTATGTAAAATATAAATCATAAAACTATTACAGAAAAATACAGTTGACAGGCAAATCATTCTATGAGTCCAAATGCAGACAAATTGAAGGAAAATACTGGTAAAATTGATTTAAAAAAAAAAGGATAAAAGAGACTTTTGTGGGTCAGCTTTATGAAAGTGGGAATAGGGCTTTCTTAATAGATTGCTAATCTCCTCCCACAAGGGGCAGTGACTTTCCTGGATAACTAGAGAAGTAAGGGCCAAACTCAACTGGCTAATAAGAAGAGTAACAAACAAAAGGAACCCAGGAAGCCTTAGAAAATAACTTCTACACTGCTGGTCTCATTTCCATGAGAGTCATTAGACTGAGTCACAGCTTTTGACCCTCCTCCACTGCCCCTCCCCTCTTTCCATCCCAATAAATCTAACATTTCCTAGAACTGGACATTATTTTAACTGGTTGGAGCTAACCCATTAAACTAGTGGGGAATTCTTAATTTATTTCAGTTATGTTTATTATAAATATAATCTTGCATTTGTCTTATCTTTTTATAATCCTTTAAGTGCCTTTGGTGAAGTTTCAAATATTAAGTTGAATTTATCAGTCTGTTCCTTTACATTGAATATTCTGTGTATTGTTTAGGAAGTCTTCTGTGCCCTTAGATTAAGAGGATGTGCTTCTACATTTTCTTCTAAAAATATAATAGTGTTGCTTTTCACATTTAGTTTTTGATGCTGCCTTGATAAAAAAAAAATGAAGAAGAAGAAGAAGAAGAAGAAGAAGAAGAAGAAGAAGAAGAAGAAGAAGAAGGAGAGAGAAGAAGAAGAAGAAGAAGAAGAAGAAGAAGAAGAAGAAGAAGAAAGAAGAAGAGAGAAGAAGAAGAAGAAGAAGAAGAAGAAGAAGAAGAAGAAGAAGAAGAAAGAAAGAAGAAGAAAGAAGAAAGAAGAAAGAAGAAGAAGAGAGTAACCTTAAAACACTGGCAAAGTCTCAAAAAAGCAGGTCCCAAACAGGACTATCCAAACAGCTAATAAGCATATGAAATGATGCTCAACCTCATCAGTAATCATAAAAATACTAACTGAATTGACAATGAAACATGTCTAGAGACACATTGGTTAGCTAAAAGGTTTAAGGCTTGACAGTTCTGAGTATCAGTAATGATTAGACACAGAAGAAGTTTTGAAACTGGTGATGGAAGCACTAAGTCTGATGCACATGTACCTGAGCGTAACTGGTTTCTCATTTGGAAAAACAGGCATTATTTGGTAAGTGGAGGGTATACATACCCCAAGTCCACTGGAAGGAATACATTCTAGAGAAACTTTTCATATATGTACCAGGATATATAAAATAGTTCATGATACCATCTTTCAAAACAGTATAAACTAGAATATAGCCCCAATGTTCATCCAAGGAAGAGGGGTATATATTTTATGATGTATTTATATAATAGGATCCAACAACATACAGAATACAACAACAAAAATAAAATACAACAAAAGTCAGCTACTGCTACATGCAACATGGTTGTGTCTCACAACAGATTATTGAGCCAAAGAAGTCAGATACCAAAGAGTATATTCATAATGATCTCATGTGTACAGATTTCTAAAAAAAAAAAAAGAAACTAAATAATACTATTTGGGGATCTATTCATAGATTGTAAAATATACATAAAAAAGGTGCTATTATCATAAAAGTCATATAGTAGTTAGATGGGGTGGAGGGAGGAAGGGTCTGTGATTTTTGTGGGAGCACAGGGGTAGGCTTCTGAGGTGCTAATAACTTTCTTTTGCTTGATGGGTGTTGCAAGAACACAGCATTTATACGTATGTAATACATATTTGTACATATGTATTTGCACTATTCTGTGTGTAGATCTCACTAAAAAGTGGGGCCACAAAATATAATTTTGTTTAAAACATAAGACACATTACTTCCACAGTGCAACCATTTTAGAAAGCAATTTGAGGTTGAATATGGGTCTATCCTATGTTGAATTTTTTCACTTCTAGAACATGCAAGAATGTTCAAAAAAGCACCAATTGTAATTTTAAGAGGCTGCTAAGGGGCAACCCGGGTGGCTCAGCGGTTTAGTGCCACCTTCAGTCCAGGGCCTGATCCTGGAGACCCAGGATCAAGTCCCATGTCCGGCTCCCTGCATGGAGCCTGCTTCTCCCTCTGCCTCTCTCTCTCTCTCTCTCTCTCTCTCTCTGTCTCTCATGAATAAATAAATAAAATCTTTTTTAAAAAAAAAGAATAAGTAAATAAAATCTTTAAAAAAAAAAAAGGCTGCTAAAACAGAAGGTGTCACTCTCTTTTATCCTACCACAACAGAGAACAATGCTGGGTATTAAACTTTTTCTACAGTCTCAGTGTTTTATCACAGGCCCCAGGCCTATGCATGAAAGGGGAATGATAATGATGATCCAAGTCCCACATTCTCCACATCAGGTTTATCAGTATTAAAGCTGGTCTTGGGTGGCCCTGGTGGTGCAGCGGCTTAGCGCCGCCTACAGCCTGAGGTATGATACTGGAGACCCGGGATCGAGTCCCATGTCAAGCTCCCTACATGGAGCCTGCTTCTCCCTCTGCCTGTGTCTCTGCCTCTCTTTCTCTCTGTCTCTCATGAATAAATAAATAAAATCTTTAAAAAAAATAAAAAATAAAGCTGGTCTTTATACCTATCTGATTAGGATGCATTAATTATCAATTGGATATGAACTAAAAAGGGGGTAAAAAGTAGTTTTATTTCATCTTCTCAAAAGCAATAAAGATAGAATATATGATTCTTTTTTTTAAGATTTATTTATTCATGAGAGATGCAGAGAGAGAGAGAGAGAGAGAGAGAGAGAGAGAGAGGCAGAGACATAGGCAGAGGGAGAAGAGGGTTCCCCACAAGGAGCCTGATATGGGACTTGATCCCAGAACTCTGGGGTCACGACCTGAGCTGAAGGCAGACACTCAATCGCTGAGCCACCCAGGCATCCCTAGAATATACAATTCTTTTACCTGTGTCTCCTTAAATCTCCAGACTTACTTCCTGCTTTTCTTACTACCTTCCATAGCTCTGTCTTTTGGGGTGCTAGTCTTGGAAATGACTTCAACTTCTCTGGATAAACTACATAGCTCCATGTTTCATTTCCTTACCTCAGCTTGACTCTTTTGCCTGAAATATCCTTTTCCTTCTTTGCAGGCTAGCAGAAAAATCCTACTCATATTATTAACATTCAAATCAAGCACTAAATATTTTTTAGAGCTTTGTCATAAAGTCTTCTTCCACCTATAGAAATGGTAGGTTTTTCCACACCCCTTTTTGTGTCCCAAGATATGGGAAACAAAGGCAGATGGAAATGCAGATCAAATTAAATATCCTTATAACCTGCAACCCATTGACAAATACTTGAGGCAGGCAGAGTATAACTTCCTCCAGAAAATTTCCAACTGTCTTAACATTAATGCCTTGCTAGAGGGAAAAACAACCTTTGCTTGACTTTAGCAAGGCCTCTGGTATTCTGTATTTTAATATATGAAAATTCTTTTGGAACTCCCCTTATCTTTACTTCCCCCAATCTCAAAGTATATAACCAATTGCTCCTTACAACCCCATGCAGCAGCTCTTTCTGCCCATGAGTCTTGTCCCCGTTCTTTAATAAAAGCACCTTTTGCACCAAAGACTTGTCAAGAATTTTTTCTTGGCCATTGGCTCTGGACCTCAACTCCAAAAACTACACCAGTGCATACAGACTACTTCTGGTTCATTTTTACCCTACTAGCTCTCTCAAGTTGACCTTGAACTTCTAGCCTGCAGAGATAAATGTTTTGAATCCCCATAGATAGTAGAGTTTTAGACACACAGAATTAAATAACTATATTTAATGAATTAAAGATTGAAATAAAGTGATATCCTCTGAAGCAGAGGACCTTGTCCCCAAGGATTAAGTTGTTTTTCTAATAGTTGAGGCCAGATCACAGAGGAAGTAGTAGTCTTGATCATCTGATTCCTGAGAGGAGAAAGGAAAAGGCACTGTCAGTGATAACAGTTTATGAGTACTGTGGAAAAAAGTACATTATGATTGGCTAAAAAGCACTTATTTGGACTTCTAGGAAAGCCTGATAAATGGCATAGGTGGATGCTTGCAATAATGGCACAGGGTCCTAAAGAAAGTTGTCCTTGTCTTTAAATGACAAGAGTTGTCACATGTTCCATACATCAGGTGAGTGGCTTGAGAGGTAGAACACAGGATGGATTTCAGCTTCTCATTCACTTCTCTGCTAAGTGGTCCTGAGCAGAGCATCCCTGCATAAAGGTATAATCTCTTAAGTGGATTTGGTCATCAAGAAGCACTGAGATGTTATTTTTGCCTTGAATTCTTCTGATGATTCTTGATTGCCTAAAGTGATTGCCAACTACATAGCCTGTCAAATAGGACCTTGCATGGACAAGCCTCTGCCTACCTCACTCACCCTGACCTTTGCACAGTTCCAACAACGCTTGCATAATTTTAGTCCCAGAGAGCCCTGTCCTCTTGTCTCCATGCCTTTCCCCCTGCTGCCCTTCTGCCTGTACAAATGTTCAACCTCTTCTTATATTATCTAATTCTACGTTAGGCCTTGAATATCTGCCAAGGCTATGTATCCTGAGAGAAGCTTTCTCTGTCCAATCTATATGGATTGGGTACTCTTTGCATAACTGCCACAGGAAGTTATTTCCCTGTATCTGAGCACCCTTCAAATTATATTGTAACTATCTTTTCCCTTTGAATAGTCCTTTAGTTTTTACAGATTCTGCTAATAACCCCAATCTCATTGTCTTAGTTTGCTAGGGCTGTTTTAACAAAGTACCAGAAACCAGGTAGCTTAGATCAACAGGAATTTTGTCTCATATTTGTGGAGGCTACATGTCCAAAATCAAGGTATCAGGAGTGCCATGCTCTTTGGGAAAGCTTTAGAGGAGAATCTCTGCCTCGTCTAGCTTCTGGTGTTTGTTCGCAATCTTTGGCATTCCTTGGCTTGTAAATGCATCATTCCAGTTATATGGCCATCTTCTCACTGTATTTTCACATGTCTTCCTTCTGTGCATTTCTATTTCTATGTCAAATTTTCTCCTTTTTAGGAGGACTCAAGTTATATTGGATTAGACCTAATGATCTCATTTTAACTTGATTATCCCCGCAAAGATCCTCTACCCAAGTAAGGTCATATCCTAAAGTATTAAGGATTAAAATTTCAACATATATTTTGGGGTACACAATTTAACCCAGAACACTCCCTAAATTTTGATATTATTCCTCTACTTCAATGTGATAGAAGAATGAATCCCATTGCTTTAATTTGTATTTCTAAAAATAACAGGATTGAGCTGAGTTTGTTTGCATTAGCTCTTTGTTAAAGAAACCTTCCCCACCTCATTTTTTATATTTAATTCTTGATAATTTCTTTTTTAACCTCCATACAAGAGCGTGAGTTTTCATTGTTTTTTTAGTTGTCTATCTCAAGTGTTTTCATAGTCCCTAACACATAATAGAAAACTGATAAATATGTGATGAATCAGTAAGTAAAGGTGTAATGGAGTCCAAGCTTATTCTGCTCACTTCACAACAGGCCAAAAAGTCAAGTGGCAAGATGTTGGTATGAAAATAAAAGCAACTTTATTTGGAAAGCCTGCTTACTTGAAGCTTCTTTTATGTTAGCAAATGAGGGAAACAGGAGGAGATTAAAATCAAAAGGTGGCAGAGGTCTGTAAAGGTCATGGAAGGAAGAAGGTCATGGAATATCTTTGTCCTTGGTCAGTTGATCTTTGCATATAGGAACCTGGTCATGTCATTTCTGTAAATCTTAAACATAACATGGTCATGTCTGTATATACTTCCTTGTGTCCTTGGGTGAGGTAAGTTTCTGGTGAAAAGCAGTTTTTACAAATCTCAGTCGTAAGTAAAATTTCTTTGATGATTAACATGCCTACCTGCAAGGCTAAACAGAAGTTTTTACACTGTAGGTCACAGTAGCAAGGGAAAGAGAAGCAATATGGTATCAGGCACGCCAAGTTTCTTCCCATTACAAAGGTATCTTTTCAAGCTTTTGTAGACTGTCCTCTTTAGATCACCTGTTTATACTGTTTACTCATATTTATTATATTGATCTTTTTCTTATTTACTTGTAGATTTCCCTTTTTTGCTTTTTAACACTAATTACATCATTTGACATAAACATTTCCTTTTTTAAAAGATTTTATTTATTTATTAATGAGAGACACAGAGAGAGGCAGAGACACAGGCAGAGGGAAAAGCAGGCTCCATGCAGGGAACCTGACGTGAGACTCGATCCCCGGACTCCAGGATCATACCCTCGGCCAAAGGCAGACAGACACTCAACTGCTGAGCCACCCAGGCATCCCTGACATAAATATTTCCTCTAGTCTTTCCCTGTCCTTTAACTGGTTTGGAGTTTTTTGTCATACAAAATTATCAAATTGAACATAAAGAGCCACATAGAGTCAACCAATGTTTATTTGCATTGAAGAACTGTAATCTGAGGAGTACAGATTTCAGTAGAAACTCAAATGTTCCTTCTTATAGGATAAAAGCAAGATTTTCTTTTTCTTTCTTTCTTTCTTTCTTTCTTTCTTTCTTTCTTTCTTTCTTTCTTTTTTTTTTTTTTTTTTAGAGAGAGTAGTTGGGGAGAGAGAGGAAGGGAGAGAATGTTAAGCAGATTTTATGCTGATTATGGAGACTGTCACAGGGCTTGATTTCACAACCCTAAGATCACAACCTGGGCCAAAATCAAGAGTCCAGTGCTTAGCCAATTGCACCACCCAGGTGGCCCCAAAGCAGGAGGTTCTTATGAGGAAAAAAAGAAGAAACCAATTACACACAAGTTGAAGGAGAGAAAAAGAAGGTGTCTTCTGTGGGTGTCTTAACAAGCTAAACTCAATCAATTAACTGCTGATTTTATCTGCAGAAAGCCCATAATCATCAGCCTTGTGATCAAGATGTCCATTTTCCTGCTGACTTCTCAAACAACTACCTGTTTGAGAAGCAAAACAGTTGCTGTTTTGTCCAGTCCAAAATTTTGGTCTAGTTCAAACAAAGGCAAGTAAAGCAAGTCCTCTCTAATGGCTGCTCATTCCAACTCCATTTTAAAATGACTCCAATCACATTCTTTTTCATAAAATATTTTAAAGTCGATATAAGACTTACCATATCTTTCATTTATGGCTTAGATTTTTTTGAATCTTTACCTCAAAATTAAATACCTTCTCCTTTTTATTTTTTGATATTTGTATAAATTGTGCGGTCTGCATCTCTGTATCAGTGCATGGTAGGCATTTAAGGATTCTTGATGTATACAGAAACAAGATAGTGGTGAAAAACCACCAACAGAATTAAGTCTGGAGGGCACACAGCCTGTACTTAGAGATTATTGGGAAAACATCAGAAAGGGGCTTAGAATATGCTTTCCTGAAGATAATGAAAATCTAGCCTGAGGGAAAAAAACTGAAATAAACTGCACCATCATAATGGTCACAAGGGTATGGCTTCTGCTTTTGCTAACAGAGAGAGCATTGCTAACACACATTGCTGAGATGTTCTGCAGACCTGGAGCAGGGAAGGAAATGATTTTCCAACCATAATCTTGATAAAACCAGATGGACCTTTACCAGTTAGTCAATCTTTTTAATTTATTTATTCATTCATTTATTCATTCATGAGAGACACACACACAGAGAGAGAGAGAGAGAGAGAGGCAGAGACATAGGCAGAGGGAGAAGCAGGCTCCCTGCAGGGAGTCCAATGTGGGACTTGATCCATATTTTGGGATCACACCCTAAGCAGAAAGAAGGCAGATGTTCAATGGCTGAGCCACCCAGGCATCCCCGGTTAGTCAATCTTGAAGTTTACCCAATCCTGGAGCAATTAGAAGAACCCATACCTTAAACCCCTACCATTGATTTTTTTGCCCTTAAAAAACCCTCAGTTGCAAGCCATTGGAGGAGTTCAGGACTTTAGAACATCAGATCCCCATTCTCCTGTGTGTCATCACACCAATAAATAACCCTATCTTCCTTCACTGTGAAAGCTCAGTGTCAGTATTTTTAGTGGTTTGGTGTGTATCATCAGGTGGACAAATTCTTCTTTAGATCGGTTACAGTAGCAAAGCTGAAAACTCTACCATCTGCCAAGATCAGGGTGTTCTCTGGCCTGGGTGATATAAATTAAAGTAACTGGGATAGGAGAGGGACATTTAGTTGAATCAAAGCTGGTGGTGTCTTGCAGGTGAGGAAAACACAATCCTAGACACGAGAAATGCTGTAAGTCAAATGGACAGGAGAGTGGTGACAGGATATTCTATTCAGCTCAGAGTAGGATTCTACTAATGGTTCGGGCTAGAGGTCAGAATCCATCCCTGGAAATGATACTGCGATGACTTGAGCAGAATTCTGAGAGAAGCAGACAGCGACAAATAATATTGTGAGATACTTGGATATAGAATTGAGCAAACACAGCAATGGTCATAGAAAAGATGATGACTTAGTATGCAAGTAGGTGCACGCAATTCAGTGAAGCCATACCTGTGAGAGATGCTGAGCAGCAGCACTAATACAGGCTCCTCAAAGTTGGTGGGGTGTCAAGGGACCCCTTGAACTTCTGGGAAGAAAATGGAAACTTCCCTTAAAATGAAAACTGTTGTGAAGAAAAAAGGTAAAAAGGTGCCACTGTATTCAAAAAAAAAAAAAAAAAAAAAAAAAAGATGAGTTTTAGGCAAACGGTTACCTGGTAATTAATTAATCTTCAGCAAACTCATTTTTTAGGGTCCATAATTATATAGTCAGCAATTCTCTCTCTGGTCTTAAAATGCTATGGCTTAGAAACATGATAAATGACTAAAATCCAAGGGCACTACTAGGAAAATGCAGATAGCAAATAAATAGATAAATGAAAGTTATCTTGGTTGCTAATAATGAATCCCTAAAGCTCGTAGTCTTCATTCAAACCTACTCTATACTGCATTCCTTTGGAGGATGGGATTTAATTTCTGAGCAACAAATATGTTGCAGCCAAAACACATTTTATTTTTTTTTTTTAATGTGAGGAAGTAGGGAAATAACTTTTAAGACATTGAGTCCTTTCAGAGTCACATTTGTGATTAAATTGAGCAATTTCAGCCCACTATTTCTTAAAAAAAGACTATATAATGCAAAAATTATGCATAGAGTGAATAATAAAAGATGTGACTAGAGAGATTAAAAGTTAAACAAACCTGCAGAAATCACAGCATGACAGCAAATTCCAGATGGCTGCAAAATCCCCAGGGTCCTTGAGGAGCTTTGAAAGGGCAGGTTGCGTGTCATCTAACAGATTTTCATTCCTGTAAGCCTATAAAGGAAGAAAGAAATGTTCCTGAAAATACACAACTTCAAAGAATGATTGTTTTGAACTCGGTGTGGAGGCTTGGCCTAGCTCATGACCCAGTCACTACCCAAGGAAGCCCAAGCCCAAAGGATCAGAGTGGCTCTGACAAGACTTTCCCCTTCTGCCCTCAATTCATTTGTTTTGCACGTGTATCCAAAGATAGTTCTGAAATCGGGTCTTGCCTTTTTGTCACTTTTTCATAGAGGTAATAGGAAAAAAGTGAGATTGAGTAATGAAGGCAAGACTTTGGAGCCCCCAAGTGGGACTGGTGTATCTGATTTATGGGAAACCCTGGGATTTAGAAGAGATCTGCCTCTAGAAACACTTAACACTTGTCTTTATGGAAAATAATAATGCAGCGTGAAATAGTTGAAAAGCATACAGTTTTTGGAGGAAAATAGACTGGGTTTTGAATCTTGCATCTGCCACTTTTCTGGTTCCGTGCTCCTTAACTCCAATTTTCTTGTGCTTTTCAAAGAGGGAATAACAATGCCTATCCTAGTCATGTTGTCAGGATTAAATGAAACGTGCCACTCATGAAGCACCTGACACATTATAAGCCTTCGATAAATACATCAATCTTAGTTTATCCCCTTTCCTATAAAACTGTGTATACATGTGCTCCCTCACACTTTGTCTCTAAAGTTTTACTCTGGTGCAAAACAGTCTGGTGCAAAATAGTCTCATTGATGCAATTGAAAATACCATCCAACATACATGCAATATGCCTGGAATCCTCCCTGCTCATAACACATGAAGTGTGCACACATGTGTGCAAACGTGTGCACACATACACATGCACACAGATAACACATGTGACATTTCACGTGCCCAGCAGACACCAGTATTTTGAGTGTTTGGGACAGTTTTCAAGTATTAGGGACAAAAATTTAAATCTAGCTGGGAAACAAGTGTTTTGTTACGTTAGCTCAGAAAAGTAGTCTTACATCCTGATATCCTTACACTAATACTATCCTATGCTGCAAGCAAATTCACAATCCCTCTTTCCAAACTATACATTTCACATTTTTTCTTGCTTTTTACCCGTATCTTCACTCCCTCATTCAGCCATTGACCTTGCTTAGATATTCACAGAAATAATCAATGTTACCTTTTCCATCTTCCCACTTTCAATAAGCACATGCATAGATGTATTTCTCTTCAATTAAAACAGATGAATTGCCTGTGCCATTACTTAAGATAAACAACTGATTTTTAATAGGTCCTGTCACTTCCCGCTACTAAAGAATTCAACTCGGAATTATCTCCCTTCTCTCCTTCAAATTAATTTTTACCTCCTCTGTACAGACTCATTCTCACCAGCTGCCAAACATGCTTAATAGCTTTCCTCAAAATAAAACATAATAAAATAGAATAGAATAGAACAAAATAAATAGAATAAGAAAATAACAAAATCCCTAATAGTCACTGCCATATTTTTCTAGAAAAACTCCTTTGATACTTATATATTTTCTCTCATCTCATGTTTAATTCTTAACAAAATTTTATCAGTTCTAATTACAATATATCTCATGAGTCCAACTACTTCTCACTTCCTAACTTGTTCCTGTATTAGCACCTTGGACTGAGCACCATCACTCCTCTCTCCACAATCACAACAGCCTCATGGCCAATCTCTTTGCTTCACCCTGGCCCCCGGAGGCTCTTTTCCACACAGCCATTCCACTGAAAAATTTCACTGGATCATATGACTTCTCTGTTCTCAACATTCAAAGGCTTTCTGTAGTGCTTGGAATAATTCAAAAAATCTTGATAAAGCCTAACCTAATACTATTCCTGCCTTTGTCTCTGAAATCATACATCTTTCACTACTCCAGTATCATTGGTTTATTAGCTTCTCTGGTCACACAACCATGTTTCCCTCTCAGCATCTTTGCACTTGTTGTTTCCTCTGTCCCTAAAGCAGATCATCTGATAGGAGAGGGGATACTCTCTTGCCTCAGAGAGGTCAATACTGAAACACCAGGGAAGACTTCTCCTGGTGCTTTAACTCTTTATACTTTGTCAGTTTTGTGTTTAAATATAATATCCTCAAAACATCTCCCTGCCCATATCTTTACTTAAAGTGTACTGTTATCTTTCCTCCAGAACCCTTATGAAAATTGTGACTCTACTATGATTTGCATGATTATTTCTTTATTACACATATGCCTCCCTTACTAAACTGAAATCTTCTGGAAGGCAGGGATCATGGGTTTGTTTTGCTTCATTTTGTTTTTTTCATCTTTGTATTCCTAACATCTAAGATCATACTTGGCATCTAATAAACACTCAATATTGCCCTAATAAAATCTATGCTTCCTTATGGTTAGTAACAAAATGGTGTCATATTCAAAAGCAATGTTAAAAGTAATTAATGTTATAGAGTAATTTAAATCTTTACTGAAGTCTCTGGAAGAGGCACCATATGGACAATTTCCTTCCACTAACACATGTGTCTCCTGAGTCGTCATAGTAATTCCTCTAAATGTCATCTCTATGTTTCTCTATCATCTAGCTACCATTTATCTATCATCTGTCTGTCTATCTAGTCTATTTATCATTGCTCTCCCTCCTCTCTTTGTGTTACAACCCAGTTCCTCAATGAAGGAATAAGTTTAGTTTTTTTCAGGATCATTTAAAACATTTCAATATTCCAATTACCATAAATAACCCCCCCAAAGCTTTCAGATAAATAACAATTTAAAAATCTTTATCAATCACCAGGCAGGTGGATGTTTAAATACTTAAAAGGATTTGTCCTTCTCCAAAATGGATGAATGGATGATTGATTGAACCGTGTTCTGCATGTGACTCTTACTGTAATAGACAAGCATGGCTTTCACATCAGGTCATCTTGGCTCAAATCTGTTCTGCAGCACTTATTAGCTGATGACTCTGAAAGGCTGCTTATAACCTCACTAAAACTCATTGTTCTGGTCTCTAAAATGACAGTAAAAATATTCACCATATGTAGAGGGTTGTGAGAGGTACGGAAAGTGAACCAGTCCAACACCAGCAGATTACACTTTAGTGCATAGCAGAAACTCAACAATTAACACTAGGCTTCCTCTTTGAAAAGAAAAATAACTCCATAAAAATATGCACTTTTTACCTTTCAGCACTGGGTGCTATTTCAATTTTTAGAATTCTTTGTATCAAATATCACATTAGCTTAAGAAATACAGTCCCACAAAAACTGGATTTTCTATCTCTTGCAGGGGAGGCGAAAGTCATCAGATATTTTTCATCACTGATTCTAAATCAGTTAGTATCTGTTTGTCAAATACCCCAAAATCACAATATAAATGTTTTAAAACTCCTGGGGAAAATGGATTTTTTTGGGTGTGGGTTTTTTTGGGTTTTTCCTTTTTTACTCAATTGTAATGTATTCTTACATACCACCTGAGTTAGCAGACACTTTCTGTGATTTGATGAACAAAGAAGTGTTCTTTTCCTGTTCTTCCATTTATTTTTTAGCATCTGGGAGAAAAAAAAGATTCAATGAAATACCCAAGTTGTCTTTCCCTGCAGTTGAGAACAGCTGAGCCCTGAGATGATTAGTACCTCTCGCTGACTCAATACCACAATTCAGAGACTCCTTTGAACCTGAACTGAGTACTGATAGTGCTATTTATTCTGTATCTGAGTTGACAATTGATGGCTAATATTTTCTCTATGGAAAAACACATCCTTAAGGAAACACACTTTGCATGCTTAACAGTGAATTGTGGTCGAGCAACACTAAAGACCCATCTTATTCTTAAAATTTCAGCAACAAAAGTAGATGAAAGATATGATGTTGTAAAGTATATATTATAATATTTGTTACAATGATAGAAGGTGAACTACACATTACTGTAAAAGAAAATCCAATTTACTAGCTGCTACCTTCAATTTTGATTTGACAAATGCTAAATCTTATGCTGTATTTCAACTCTCTTCATTTATCTTTTAGAACATGTACTATAATGTCTCCTTAAGGCACATAAAACAATCTTTCCATTTAATTTACTAAACATGCTCATGTATATTTGAGTTTACTAGGTGCAAATAAATGAAAATCTCTTTCTGTTGTTAAAGATTTCTTTGACAGTGTAAAATCAATCCTGACTTTATTGTTTAGGTTTGAAACTGCTGATTGCATCCTTGTTTGTGCGATAAGAAGCATGCATATCAAAATTATTTCTCTTTTCCGCATACGTACATCATATAATTTAGTAGCCCGTATTAAATTTAATTAAGCAAGGGTGCCTGGGTAGCTCAGTTGGTTAAGTGTCCCGCTTGTGATTTTGGTCAGGCCATGATCTCACAGGTTGTGAGAGCCGTGTGTCAGGCTCCACACTCAGCAGGGAACTGCTTGAAATTCTCTCTCCTTTTCCCTCTGTCCCCTCCTCTAATCACCCTCTCTCTAAAGTAAATAAATCATTAAAAAACATAAACAATTTCATCAAGTCAAAATACTTAATTATTGAGTTTAGTTTAATTGGATGTGAAAATAAAAGTTTTCTATAGGCTTCCTTTTACAATTTGCATATAAAACCAAGAGAAACATCACAACATTGTAAAAATATTAGTTCTGGGCATTCATTGACTTCTTGATAATTATTCTGGAAAAATGCAAAATATTATGTTAAGGAATATTTTGGAAACTAAACCTCAAAGTTTTAAAATAATCACAAAGGCTTCCAGGTAAACTTGTCATATGAAATGCATTTGTTCATCGTCACTTTGTCCAAAAACTCCAACAACAAATAAAAAGACAATCAATGAACAAAAAGTATATAGTCTAGGACATACAGGGAAGAGAAAGGAAAAGAACATAGGTAAAATATATCAATAATATTTTAGGTAGATGCAAAGTGTGTGGACCCATGCTGACTTTCAGAGCACAGAAAGTTGAAACCTAGATAATATCAGCATAGGGGAATGCTCATAAAACCCGATTCAATGATTAGCAAAATACTCCAGAAGAGATTAGGACTTGAAGGCAATTGGTGACTGGTGGAGTTGCTATGTAAAACAGAAGACACTAAGTTAAATTTGAAAAGTAAATAACATTTTTGGCACAGATATGTCCCAAATATTTCATGGGACATACTTATTGTAAAAAAAAAAATTTCACTGTTTCCTGGAATTCAAATGTAACTAAGCATCCTCTAATTTTATACACTAAATCTTTCACCTTCTTTGAGACGGGTGAAAAGTGGTGCTGAAATCTGTATATGAATAGCTGAAGGTGGGTACAGGAAACATGTAATCTCTAAATCTCATCTCTCACCCCATCCATAGAAGAGAACACCCCTCCAGCACAGCCCAGCAGATAGTGGGGCTTCACTACCTAGAGAAACTGAACCAGAGACTGGATTTAGCGACAGGTACCCTTTCAGGCTAATCAGGTGAGCCGCCATTCTGAAAACACTGGGATTAAGTGAAAGTCTAGAAAAGGAAGAAGATGAGACCTTCTATCATCTTTTCCCCACTCAGGTTAAAGATCTGAGAAGAAAAAAAAAAAAAAAAAAAGATCTGAGAAGGCAGACTTACCTACCTTCACTTCCATCAAGCCAGAGATTAGAAAACACTTTTAGGAACAGGACCAAGAGAAAAGGTCTATAGATACTAGTGTCTGAGACTCATTAAACCAAATAGTCCAGCTCTTTCCCTGTGACTTCTCTACTGTAAAACCGATGTTGACTAGGTCACCCCATGAACTAGACTTTCACTATCTCATTTTTAAGTAAGAAAGACTGCCAAATATTCATCCATCCATTCATTTATTTATTCAACAAATATTTGTTGACCAATTGCTGTTCTAAAAACTGAGACACTTCAGTAAACAAAACTTCTTAACCTGAGAAGAAATTAAAACAAATGAAAAAAAAAAGGATTAACAATAAGAAAAAATTATAGTTAATATACTCACAGAAGAAGATATTTTGTTCCTTACACATGACCAGTTTATTATTAAAAAGGTAAAAAAGAACATTTAGATAATAACAAAGAGCCTTTGGAAATTAAAAAAAAAAACAAATTACAGACTCAAAAACCATTAGACAGATGGGAAAATTCAGAAAATATTGTCACACAGAATAACAGAGAGATGATAGGAAAGTTACGTAATACAGTTAGTCTAACCAACATGAGTTACAGAAAGGGAAAAAAGGAAGAAAAATGGAGCCTGAGGAAATTATTTTAAAATTACATTTAAAAAATATAGTTGCATAACTAACGAATTCGAGTTTTCACACTGAAAAGGTGTATAAAATGCTCAGCAGATAAAAGACATATACACACAAAAAGGCACATCATTTGTGAAATTGCAAACCAATAAAGATAAAAAGAATATGCTAAAAGCCTGCAAAATGAGAGAACTAAGTTCTGGTCCTCAAGTGAAGGACCAGAATGAGAATGACTTAGAAATTCTAAAGCAAATTTACTTGCAACTGAAAATCTAAACCAGACAAGCAACCAATCAAATGTGAAAGTAAAATGAGAATGTTTTCAGATTTGCAAGATCTCAAAAGCTGATCTCCAGTGCATCTTTTCTCAGCAATAAATTTAAAAGAATTTATCTCTTCGGTAGTAGATGATAGGTAATGTATGTAGGAAAAAAAAATAGCACAAGCCTTTTTTTTTTTTTTTGCAACTGCTTTACATCAGAACAGATAAAAAAATTGAAAATGTATTAAAGCTTGGAAAGTGAGTGTGTTACGGGTAGTGTGGGGGAACTGTGTTTCTTGTTTGGGCCTTTGACTATTTTTTAAAACTATGTGCAGACAATATATATCAAAATAGAAACAAAATAAATTCTACAGAAGACTACATGATCTAGTTATCCCTCTTACCTGAATAAGAAACTCTAGCAAATATTATATAAAATGGAGCCATAGAATTCCAATAATCTTTTGGAATTGATTTGTGTGGTTTAGATAAAACATCTGTTAACTGTGACTTTAATAATTTTGGCAAAATAATGCTCTCAAAGCAATTTAAGAAAATCCCAAAGATTCATATTCTCTGTAAAGCACAAAGTCAATAAAACATATTTCCTAAAAGTATACAATTTGCTACACTTCTTAAATCCCATCCATAGTTATTTAGTAACATGACTGCTATGACACATGTTACTTCACACTCTTCACAGATTTAAGTTCTTTGGTTCCAAACATTACACTCCTTAGTGATAAAATATTGTCATTTAATCAGAGGCTTAATGATTAAAGTGGAGGTGACTTCTAGGGCAAGAAGGAAAAGGTAATTATTAATATGTCTTCTGAGGAAATCAGGCAGGAAATTGCTCAGTCTTGTTTAAAAAGGAGAGCAAGATAAACGCAGTAACAAAGGACCGAGACAGTTTTCTACTGCTTTAGTTACCCCAAAGTAGTCATTATATGGAAAGACACATTAATCTAGAGCAGACTCTCATTGACATGAACAACAGATGGCTTATTTCTCTCTTTTCAAAAACTGTCACTTGATTTATCCATAGAATGACAGGCCATGTTAAAAATGAGCATATTTATTTGTACCAAAAAATTCTGGTATATGTTAGAAACAATGATACCCAATAAAATAGGTCTTTAGCCAGCTTCTTCAGTGGAGCTTTGGACAGATTCCTCATCCCTTCTCTATTTGGTCCACATGTGGTAATATGGTAACCATGTATATGCCCCCCCTAGAACATTGGGGAAATTCTCCAAAAGCTGATACCATACCACATTTCTTACTATACAAGAGAGCTAGGGTAATAACTTGTAGTACAAACAGCTCTTTGACTATAGAGTACCTATATACAATCCAGGAAGCATAAATAAATAGTATTTTCTGATGCTATCCAGTAGTTAGTTAAACAAGAGGGCAACCTGGACAGTTGCTAGTGGGGAGTGGAAAGTGGAAAACACATGCAAGGATAAGGATGACGTTACTCTTCTGCATGTAGTGTTAGCTGTTCGATCATATCTTTAAAAAAATAATAAACTGTGACTGCTATGCAAACATTTAGCATCTATCAGAAAATTTTTATTACTCTGGATATTATTCCTAGATTTTTTAATTCAGTCACTCAAATGTATTCACTGAAAAGTATGAGCTCTCACTATGTACCAGGCATTTTTATGAGTGGTAGGAACAAAACTGTGTGCTAAGAGACAATATTTTCTGCTCCACTGAAGCTTACAATCCAATGGGGGTACATGGAGGCTGACAATAAATCAAATAAATAGGGGAAATACATATTATGCAAAATGAAGATAAGTGTAAGAACAAGATCAGAGAGAACAAAATGTGTTAATATTTTTAGAGAAAAGGAAAATTTCATGGTTGAAAAGAAAAATCCAGTCATCAGAATGAACATCTAATGTTTTGCGCTTTCTACTATTGATTTACTACTACTACACTCACAAATTCACAAAAAAAATTTTATTTCATATTATATAGAAGTCACTTAATGGAGTATAACTGTGTTATGAA